AGTTTAGGGGCTTGGGGTTTAGGGTTTAGCTCTTCCAAGCACTCACCCCCCAATGGTTCGAGTGACGTTGACTTCCTAGTACGTAGTGCAATTTGACCGTGTAAACCCTACACTCTGAATCCTAAGGACCTAAGCCCTAAACCCCACCTCCTCAACCCTAAACCAGAAAGACCAGAAGCCTAAACCCCTGAAGGTACAATCCCTGGCTTCTTGCATAGACCCCACCTAACCCTATATTCGACCCCACATTCTAGAAGCAATAACCAATATTGTGCCCTCGTAGTCCTTATAGAACTTCACTACAATATCCCCCTGCGAAATCCCAGTGTCCGTTTCATTGTCCACGCTCTTTTTCAAGGAGTTGCTCCATCATTCTAACCCTAAGCCCTAAAACCTACACGTCCGTGTAAGCAATCCCTTTACCCCTAAGGGCAAACCCCCAACCCAAAGTCCCTGAACCCTAAACCCTCAATTTGAGCCCTTAACCCTTAACCCTAGACCCTGGACCCTAATGAACCCTAAACCCTCAATTTGAGGTGCAAGTGAACTTCGGACCCGAGCCTTTAGCAGATCTACCCTTCAAATGCCGTGCCTCATCTGATTTTGAAGAGAATGGGGTACTTGGAGGGTCACGGGGACTTCGTATGTAGGTTAGTAACTCCTGTAATCCGTATAGTAACCCTAGTTATCCCCCATTCTTAACCGACTTACATTACTAAGTCCCTTGACCTTCCAAGTACACTAAATGCCTCTTTAAAGGGAATACACGGGTACCCTTAGGTCCCTTCAAAGGGGCCATAGGGATAAGGCCATTCTAACCATTCCATCACATGCTCTACCTTGATTGAACTCTTCGCGCTCGTAAGGTTTCGGAGAATCAGAAGGAAAATAGACATATGGGGTTTGTGAGGATTTACATCTAGGGTTTATCTAGTTACACCAGGGTTTTGGGTATATTATAGTATAGCTAGATAATGGTGAATATAGGAAAATATTGGGTACTACTATTGAGGATTTGCATTACGTATTTAGCCCTGAAACTGGCATCACGAACTTTGCATGCCGAATCCCTGCTCAGTGACCATCATTCTGCCAGGCCCACGTGAGCCATAGTCTAAACTTGAAGAGGCGTTATAGAGGGCCACAGGGGGGTATTACACGGCTTGTTAAGGGGGATAGTAGGAGTTTAGACTATGGCTCGAATGGGAGTTCCTCAACGAACCTCGATGACCCTTCAATGACCCCTCGATTCTGTTTATCGGCCAGTTGCTTCTGTCATTTTATTCAGGTGCCTAAGGACACCCCTCAAAATGTCGCGTCTGGGTTTCTAGGTTTCAGGGTAGATAGCCCCTGCCCAAACTCCCCAAGAGACCATGGATGTAGGACATCTTGCAGCACTTTACTTGCCCGCGCCCTCGGCATTGCAGTAGTTTAAGTGTTGTAAAAGCCTAGATGAGTGCCAATATCCTTGTAGCCTTCACATAACTCTAGCACATTACGCCCCAGAACCCTGTTCGAACTAGATAGGCAACTACGTATGACCCTTATATACATCTTAAACACCAAAGAATCTCAGTTTCCGTTTCATTGTCCATGTTCTTGCCCATTTGATCTTTCGAATTATGCATGCCCGCATTTCACAGCTAATCTGCTAACCCTCAAACATGGAACAGTGTCTGTTTCATTCCCATTATTCAAACCCCTAGCCTATGTGTTCCCAAAGCGACCCGACCCAAAAGCACCCTATTCCAAATAGCCAAGTAGTTTCCATCTGGTTGTCTGTTTTCGGGTTGTTCTGGCACCCTAACCAGCAGCTGAACCCCTAAGCCCTAGACCTTAAACCCTAAGCCCTAAACCCTTACTCCTAACTCCTAACCTCTCATTGTGGCGTCCTACAAGCTCCGAAGCATAGGCATGATCAACGATGCGGCAGAAGCAGATGATTCTCATCTGCACTCATCCGCAAGATGCAGGGGTTTCCCATAACATGGGGGGTACACTTAAAGGGGGACACAGGGGTTGTATAGGGATATCTACGGTACGGTTTAGGGCTTGGGTTTCTTGGGGGGGTGGTCCCCATACCAAGGGTTATAGCATTTTGGATCTATATTGAGGTCCCTTAATTTGGGAAACTACCATGAAGAGGGTTGAGGAGCCGGAGTTGAAGGGCTAGGGTTTGTGGGGTTTATGGGTTTAGGGTTTAGGGGGGTTAGGGTTTGGGTTTTGGCCTTAGGGATGTGGTTTAAAGATTCCTGTTCAGAGAGGATTTGGGGTTCAGGAATTAGAGGTTAGGGATGTGGGTGTAGGGTTTCGGAAGGGTTTAGGGAAAAGCTTAGGGAGGGTAGGAATTCGACCAAGCTGGAAATTCGAGACCTCTCTTCTCGATGGCAAATCTTAGAGCTTCCTGGGTAGTTATAAGTGATGCTGTAAGCCCCTTCATTCAGGCTCTAAACTTGCTTGTCAATATCCCACTTCGTATACCTACATTTGAGACCCCCCGTACATATATATATATATGTGTACATGTGGATCCTGATTACGGGCATGTTAGGTCAAAGAGAGGCCGGGTAAATCGAGCGCAGCCTGACGAAAATCATGAAAGATAATGATCATCATTAAGGTTACCCAGAAGCCCTGGACCCTAAACCGCACAGTAGTTTCCATGTCTCTACCCCTAAACCCTAAACCTAAACCCGAACCCTTAACCCTGAACCTGAAACCC